GGGGGCCAAGGCCACCACTGTCCCCCCCGCTGGCCCCTCCACTGCACCTGGTGGTGGATAAAACTGCTCCGTCCTCTCGACAGGATCCATCACTCTTCGTTGCCTCAGACCAAAAAAAAACCCTCCCTCTGTTCTTGTCGTCAGTGTAACTCCTCTCCACTTGAACATCTTGCACCAAAAACATTTAGGTTTACTTCATTCTTTGTTCAACTCCAGTCCAGAAAAACCCTCATCTCCAAAACTACAAACATTCACCGTTCAGACCCCCCAGCGATGGGGGACACGGTGTTCTGCTTGTTTATGGTGATTCATAGACATACCTGGTGCAAACCATCTACAATTTGTGTTTTTAGTCGTTTAATCGTATTTTTGGACCTTTGGGTGAAGAGACACTTACAGCCTTCAACTGTAGACCTTCTTCAGAGGATGGATGTTGATACTCCATGGACATCGAGGACAGTGCTCAGTAAATCCCAATTCAAGCTGCTGAAACCGAAGTGGGGGCGTTGAAAGGAACATGGGAACTTGGGTAGTTCTGGCGTGATCCGTGTCAAAGCGTTCGTCAAGTGTGGGTGGAGGTACTTTGCAAGAAGTAAGTGACATTTAGACGTCCTCTGAAAATACTGTAAGTCCAGGTGCCACAGTTGATTACAGGAAGCATCCGTTAGCAACTAACAGCAGATTAACTGAAGTAAGTCAGGTGGCGGTGTTGGCTGAGCCGTCAGAGGGAGGTGGGTCTATGTGCACGTGTGTGTGTCCTCTGCTGTAAGTCTGAAGGTTTGCCATAATTAATATGTGCAGTGGGTTTGATGAATGAGGACGGGTGGAGGATTTCATCCTTCCATCACAGACTGACTCCTCCCTGGGCACGAGGCCTTCACGACCCTGCTCAGCACCTCAAAGAAGCACGCCCCTCAGTTTGGGCCTGCATCTACCCTTGAAGCTCACTGTGTGAGCGCTCAGGTGCAGTGTTGAAGTATGGGTTCCCAGATTGACTTGACCTGTTCGTGCACGTGTTCACAAACCAGACGCAGAAAGTGTGCTCTGTGCTGTGGATGAAAACGAGCTGTTTGTGTTCGTCTAATTATTGGACGTCTCATTCTGGAGGGAGATTAACGAGCCCGTGGTCAAACGGCTGTGAGGACAGACGTCCTGGAGCTCTTCTACACCGTCACTTCAGTTTCAGCCGCTGCTGGACCGCTCACCCCGTCGCTGCAGAGACTGAAGCGCAGTCTGTTGGCGTGTTTATCTCTACAACTCCATGGTTTAACTTACAAATAAGGCTCATAAAATCATGTGCAGCTAATCAGTAGTCGACGGTTATTTTCTCATTACCTATACATTTCAGATTAACCAACAAACAACGAGCCAACGAGTTACTTTCAAACGCATCACTTTAATCTTAATAATAAACTCAAAAATAGTTGGTACTCGCAGCCCAATTGAAATGCAGGCGTGTAAACAAGTCTCATTTTTCATATTTATATTTTAAACAACATTTCAGTTGTTTTTACACCGTCTGACACAGTTTTTCATAGTCTGACGTGTAGGAGCTGGACTAGTTGAGACCTCGGACTCGTGAGTCCCGATTCAGTCCGAGGATTCAGGTCAACCCAGCTGAGTTAGTAATCGGACGCTTTTATTACCACTTTATTTTATTTTATTTTATTTACAATTTCTTTGAGACGTTGCAGCTGCATCAAAGTAGGAAGGATTTCCCAATCTCTTTGTGAACAAGCCATGTAGTGACAGTCTATTCTATTCTATTCTATTCTATTCTATTCTATTCTATTCTATTCTATTCTATTCTATTCTATTGAACTTCTGCAAAACCAAAAGAAACAACAGATATCTTAAAAAAATAACTTGTTCATTTGAAACCTAAATGAAAATGGAGCTTCTCTCAAACAAACCCAGTGATTCACCTCATTTATTCCTCTTGTTGTTAAACAAGTTTCTTAAAAAACAACCAAATCATAAATGTGCATCTGAAGGAACAAAATACTCAGAATTACGTCAAATGGAATAAAAGCGCCTGAAATAAACAACATGAGCAGAATAATATCCTGGAAACTCTGAGATTTATCAGGATCCTTGTGTTGTCGTCTCGTGGTTTAGTTTCCTCTGGGTCTGTTTTATTTGTGTTTTCAGTGTTTTTCTCCTCCTGTGGTTCAACTCCTGCTCCTCCCACTCTCACCTGCTCCTCCCACTCCCACCTTGCTCCTCCCACTCTCACCTTGCTCCTCCCACTCTCACCTGCTCCTCCCACTCTCACCTTGCTCCTCCCACTCCCACCTTGCTCCTCCCACTCTCACCTGCTCCTCCCACTCCCACCTTGCTCCTCCCACTCTCACATGCTCCTCCCACTCCCACCTGCTCCTCCCACTCCCACCTGCTCCTCCCACTCCCACCTTGCTCCTCCCACTCCCACCTTGCTCCTCCCACTCTCACCTGCTCCTCCCACTCTCACCTGCCCCTCGTTGTCTCTGCTCAGGTGTTCGTCATCGTCCATCGTTATTGTCTCTGTAAAACCTGTCATTGTGCCTCGCTCTTGTCCGTGGTGCAGGCGTCGTGCTCTGTCTCTTCCCCAGTCCGGTTTAATTCTTGTAATTGTTTGTTGCCACATCAGTCTTTTGTTTTTGTGAATAAATCTGGTTTTCTTTATTTTACCCTCGAGCCCCCGGTGTCTGTCTGCACCCCGAGTTCATCTCTCGTAGAAAGTCTGCGTGTAGAAGTTAAAGCCGAACAAACAAACTGATTTTAAATAAAATATATTTTTGTGCTAATTTAAAACCAGAGAAAATGAAGCGCACAAACAAAAACCCAACAGATAACTCTGAGAATTGGGCAAAACTTGAAAGCAAGCATGAATTATTGAAGTATTTAAAATATATAAAATGAAAATCCAACCGCAGGTCGGGTTTTCTCCATTTCCCCTGAAAAGTACAAAATGTTTAATTTAAAAATGGCAGAAAATTAAAGATATTTTGTCAGTCGAGCCGCAGGGTGAGAGCAAAGCTGACGGTCAAATTAGTACTGCGATGCAGGTAGAGTGCTCACCCCCCCGCTCCTCCACCCCTCCAGCGGTGATGGGCGGACAATAACAGGCCAATTGCACTGGGCTTTAGGGAGCAAGTGGTTTGGAACATGGGCCCGGCCGGCTGCTCGATGTTTGCATCGAGGGCAGAGCGTCTCT